GAGAAATGCTGTTCTTCTTGGGCTTTCAGCTGCAGGGGGCAGCAGAGGACCCGACTTGCCTTGCAGTGTTAGAGAGCCTAAAACTAGCGCAGTGGGGATGGTTGGCTCTAGGAGACCCAGGATGAGGGGCACAAGGGAAAGGAGATGGATAGAATAGCAGAAGAGAAAACAAGCGGCTTGTGTCGAATCCCATTCAGCCGTGTTTCGAGGGTTACTGTGTGCATACATGTGTCAGAATACACTTATTCCTCCGCAGGGCAGGAGACCTGTACGTATACAGTCTAGTAGTATATCGAGGCCCTTGGCTTGCCACCTCAATGCTTTCCCATAATTAAGATACATAGCCTAGTGCAGAGGACAGTCTGCTAGACCTGTAGGGATACATCATAAACTTCATTTTCACAAGATGAAAAAAATTTTTAAATAAAATATTTTCCAAGCTTCTCCTGTTGTTCGAAACCAAATTACTGAATCAAATATTTGGCAAATACTGGAAGCCAGGAATTTTGGTTGTAGTGAGATAAAAAATTTCATGCATCAGTTTTCTGGTCGGGTAGAATGGACATAAAAATAGATATGTTCAGTTACCTTGGTAAAAGATTCTAAATGCATAGAATGCCTGTGTTTCTGCTGCAAAACAGTGCTGAACATGATTCACAACAAACTTATTATGTAGGAATACTCCTATGAAATTATTTGTGACTCGTTTGAAGAAAACTTTTAACATTTACTGAGAATGGAAAAGGCTTAAGAGAAGAGCTGGATATAGTACATTTGTTAGTAGGTAGATCACATTTTAAACAGATCAAGTCCTAGAAATTGTCGATGATTCTGAAGTTCATCTGTGAGAATAAGCAGGCAAGAGACCAAAGAAAATACTGTTAAAAGGTAATAAGGGGCCACTAGTACTACCAAATATTAGACCACATGATCAACTCAAAATTTAAAACATTCTGTTAACTTGGCATATGATAGACAAATCATCCGACAGACTGTATAGCCCAGATAAGGACCTTAGTGTTGTAATATATCATAAATACAACTGAAATGCTAATGGTATTTATAGGATGGTAAAATGAGAGAAGACTTTTTTCTCTACTTTCAATAATCCATTTCTTCAAAAAGTATTTATTGTCTACTATGTGATAGATGCTGTTCTCGGAAATGGGAATATAACAGACAACAAAACAGATAAAAATCCCTGCCCTCGTGGAGCTGGATAAAAGGACAACAAACAAGATAAATACATAAACTATATAGTGTATCAATCAGATAGTAAGAAGTACCAGGAAGGGAGATATAAAATGGTGTGGTAGGAGAATAGTTTGAAGTTTTAGAGAGGGTGGCTAGGAAAAGTAACTTTTGAATAAAGACTTCATAGAAGTGAGAGAGCTAGCTATGCTTAAAGGGTGGAAATGAACTTAAGGCAGAGTTGAACAAGTGTAGAAGCACTGAGATTTGCATGCCCGGTGTGGTTAAAGAACTGAGGGAAGGTCAGTGGGGCCTGAGTGGAAAGTAGTAGGAAACAAGGTCAGAGAGTTTGGTAGGATAGACCATATGGGACCTTGGGAGTCACAGTTAGGATGTTGCTTTTACTCTGAGTGAGGTGGGAAATATGTGGGGTATTTTGCATTGAGGGAGTGTCATGATCAGATATGTAGTTTAACGGGACCAGTCTAGTTCCTATGTTGAGAACAGGATTTGGGGACAAAGGCAGACACAGAGAGACTTGTTGGGAGGCCATTGTAATCCAGGCAAGAAGTAATGGTAGCTTGGAACAAGGTGGTGTCAGTAGGATGGTGAGACTGATTGAATTTTAGATTATTTTGAAGGTAGAACTGATAAGATTCGCTTATGAACAGGATATGGCTGTGAGAGAGAAAGGCAACAAGACTGACACCAGTTTTTGACTTGAATAACAAAGAATGGAGTTACCATTGATCGAGATAGGGACCACAGCAGGAGGACCTAATTTTAGGGAAAGGAGATGATCAGGAGTTCAGTGTTGGATGTATTAAATTTGAGTTGCCTACTAGACATCTAGATGGGATATGTGTTGGAATATGTGGTCTGAAGTTTGGGGGAGAGGTCCAGGCTGGAGATACAAATTTGGAATATGACTTGTTTTCATAATTTGTTTTTATCCTTTCATAATAATTAGATGTTTTGAACTGTTTCATTTAGGTTCAGATCCTCTGTGGTTAAAGACTGTATCCATGCTGTGCTCAAGGAGGAACTGGCAAATGTTGAATATTCTCCAGAAGAAATGCCTCAGCTCACAAAACGTTTATCAGAAAATATTAAAGATAAATTAAAAGGTAATATTAGTGATATTGGAAACAACTCGTTTTCTTCAAACATTCAGTTTTACCCATTTGTCCTCTTTCTCATCTTTAAACAAGGGACAGATGCTATTAAAGACAAACTTCTCTTTAATGTCTAGTCTTCTTGATCATTTGGTAACTTTTACTCTTGTAGGTTTTTGCAGATGGTAGGAAAGAGTAAAGATGTGAAATAAAACATTGTATGGAACCACTATCCAGGAAATACAGGTATGCTGAATGACCAGGAAGTACAGGGGCTCCCTTCCCCCATAATTCTTGGTTGTTTTTCCCACCAAGATATCAAGTCCTCAGCCTGCCATTCAGTACCCTTTCAATCTGACCTCAGTCCATCTCTCCAGCTGAATCCTTGCTACTAGTCCTAATCCACCCCTGCCTCCTGCCAAACCCTACATATGCAGAGCAGATCTTGTGCTTTTCCTTCCTGTTCTTTATCTATTTCTCTGTTTCTCTCTCTTTTTAAATAATGTTTTAACACCTGAAAAGTCCTCTCTTTCTCTCTACTGGTTTTTAAAAATACCATTTTTTGAAGGGAAGAAATGTCTTTGTAATAATACTTTTTCATTATAATAAACCTGGACAATACAATAGTCTCCCCTTATCTGTGGGCATACGTTTTAAGATCCGCTTTGGATACCTGAAACCATGAATAGTACTGAAATACACACACACACAATGTTTTTTTCCTGTATGTATATACTTATGATTAATTTATAAATCAGGTACAGTAAGATTAACAACAATAACTAATAATAAAATAGAACAGTTATTACAATATGTTGAAATTAAAGTTATGAGAATGTGATCTCTCTCTCTCAAAATATGTTGCTGTGATGTACTTACCTTTTCACTTAAAGGAAGCACTTTACAGCTTCTCTTTGGCCTATCTGAATTGCCAGCATCACTACTCTTGTCTTTTGGGGCCATCATTAAGTAAAGTAAGAGTTACTAAAGACAAGCCCTTCAGTACCTCAGCAGTCGATCTGATAACTCAGATGGCTACTAAGTGACTAACAGGCGAGTATCGAATACACTGTGGATACGTTGGACAAAGGAATGATTCAGGACCTGGGCAGATGGAGTGAGTCTGTGAGATTTTATCACGCTATTCAGAGTGGCACACAATTTAAACTTGTGAATTATTTCTGGAATTTTCCATTTGATATTTTCTACTGCAGTTGACTGCGGGAAATTGAAACCGAGGAAAGCATAATAGGGGATGGTGGGGGGGAACTCCTGTACACATTAAGTTTTTTAAAAATTTTATAAAATTTAATTACCTAAAAGTAGTTACTATTTAAATATTTTGGCATGTTTTCTTCTTAATGCCTTAATTTTTAGAAATGAAAAAATATAGAAAAGTATAAAGAAAATAAATATTCGATATATTTTCATCACCAAACTGTTAGCATATTAGCATTTTTGTTTTCAGATTTTTAAATGAAAATTAACTGTTAAAATTATTGTTAAAAATGGTAATTAAAAAAATTTAAACTGTAGAAAAATGAATAAAATTAGAAAAATCACCCCAAATGCTACCCATAAATAATTATTAATATTAAGTGAATTTTATACCAGAGCTCTCTTCTATTTATATGCACAGAAATACTCTTAATAACAATGGGATGGTATAGACCTATTTCCCATATGGTATAGCGTTCATTCTGTATTTAAATGGAACAATTGCTCACTATTTAGTCCTTTTACTATTGCTGAGTTCTATATTTTGGTTCAATCCTTACCTTACAAGGTTTTGTTATAAGTTTCTTTCAGGAAGGGCTCAGAAATGCTATATATTCCATAGGTTCTTTCATGTTTGAGAATGCTTTTAAACCAGCATATATTTTGGATGAATATAATATTGTGAGGTAATAATTAATTTTCTTGAAAATCTTAGCGTTCGCTTCATTGTGTTCTAGCATTGAATGCTGCTATGGAGAAATCTGAGGCCAGTCTGATCTTCTCTGCGTAGAGAGTCCTATCTTTAACCTTGATGCTCAGCAGCTTTTTTAGGATATGGCTTGGTACTAAGCATTTAAAAATTTGCAATTTTATTTTTTCCATATCAGGGAAATTTTCTTGGATCTCTAAATACATTTCCTATTCCATTTGTTAGATTTTCTTCTTCAGGACACCAAATATTGATATGTTGAATCATCTTTGTCTTCTATATATATTAGCTTTCCTCTGCTCTAATTTCTTCCTTTTTCTTTGACTTCTAACTTGTGTTTCTCTTAAGCCAGCAATTTAGTTTTCATTTGTGGCTGTTCTGTCTCTTGCCATTTTAAATTTATTACTTCTGCAGTGCTGTTGTGTGGGTATTCAGTTTGTTTTTTAGGGCTTTAATCTCCCTTTTCATCTTTCTGTTGTTTTATAATCTGATTGAGTTCTTATTTTATTGAATTTATGAGCATATGTTGTTCTGCACTGTGAATCAGTTGTGAGGAATTTCTCTTTGTTCTTTGATTTCTGTTACCTCCTAGGGTGAGTTTTTTCTCTTTTAAACAGTATGTTTCTTTCTTTCTTGATATTCTTTTGTTTGTTTTTGCTGTTGCACCTTTGCATATTGTCATTCAGCTTCTTTTCATTTTGCTTTAATACTGTGTGGATGATTTTTAAAATTCTCCTCCCACTATATCTGAGACTATTTTATTTTTCTCTCAGAACTGTGATTTAAGGGTAGAATAGTTAATATTCTAGCCATAATTCTAAAGCATGGGTATGAGAAAAAGAGGAAGAGAAGAGGGTAGAGAAAGGAGGAAGCTCAGCTAAGCTGTATGCAGTGTTTTTTAAAACTAATTTGGGCCATGTCTTCTTGGATTTTGTTAAGTATCCTGAATTAAGGTTCATGTCCCACATGAGCGAGTACCTGTAGTGTTGAGAGTGTTTGCCTAATTTACCATATAATCCTGAAGCTTTTACTTTCGTCAAAGAGAGCTGGCTCTGTTTCAATGTTGCCCATTTCATGTTTTTGTTGTTGCTGTTACTGTTTCCATTATTCCCTGGTCAGTAAAGGAGGAAGATAAAAATACCCATTCACTTTTCTTCTCTCTAGATTTGTTTTATTGAGAATTTTCAGGTTTTTTGCCTGTCTAAGGTTACACATTTACTAAGGTTACAGTTAGAATTTGTCCTCAAGTCTCTGACTACCAAGTTTATCATCATACTCAGTAAGTGCTTATAGACTGAATGCTTATGTCTGTTCCTAGGAAAATTTGCCTTCATTAAGTAATTTTACCATATTTTTTTTATAAGTAACTTTCTTATTTTTTCTTTCTAGAAATGGGATTTGACCGATATAAAATGGTGGTGCAAGTAGTGATTGGAGAACAAAGAGGTGAAGGAGTATTGTGAGTAATTGTTTTTTTCCTTCTTGTTTTTATCCTTATATGTTTCTTATTAGGTATTCATCCTTTGGATGATTCAGTAAGATTGTGTCTGCAAGGGTGAGAGGAAAGGACAGTATAACAAAATGCAGCTGTGACTCTAAGAGATCCTGATACTGCACAGTGAGGTTGACAGTCTAGGTGAGCTCCACGGGATGACTCACTTTTCGTAGTACTTGTAGGCTAACAAGTCTTTTAGGGGTTATGTATATGTTCCCAAAGAAAGTATGAGATTATGCATGTATGTTTCCTCCCATATTCTTCGTTGCCTCTTTTTTTGGTCCTACCACTCTCCTAAATTAATTTCTTTAACATTGTCTGAGATCTCCTTGTTAGCAAATTGGACAGCTCCCTCTTAGCTCTTGTTATTGGCCTGCACTTCTGTTTCTTAAAATTCACCCTGGTTTTATTGGCTTTAATGTCACTTATCTAACTTGTTTCTCTCCTGTTTTTTCTAACTGATTATTCTCTTTCTTTCACTGGTTCCCATTTATCCCTTACATCCCCAGCTGCGAGCTTCCTTCAAGGCTCAGTTCTTATTCTTTTGCTCTACTCTATGCTTTTTCAATGAGCTTATTCATTCTCATGACCTCAAACTGTCATTCTTGTATTGGTGAGTTCAAAATCTGTATTTCTTGTCTTTTCCTATGCCCAAGTGTTAATCTCCTGTTTCTGTTTGTAAACAGTGCCAAGTATAGTATTTTGTAAGAAAGAACTACAATATTTGCTGAATGAATTTTAAAAATACCTGTAGATAATATCATTGAGAGTTTTCACTATAGAATGTTAGATATAAAAGGAGTTACACATATATTCTAGTATCTAGACTCCCTTATTTTCTAGTGACACCCATGAGGTTTAGCATGATTTGTTCAAAATTTTAGATATGGCTAGTGTCAGGGTCCCTAGTGGAATCTAGCCTTCTGACTCCCAGCACATTGCCCCTCACTCTGGTGTCCTCTACCATTTATTCAAAAGGCTTCAGGAGATTTCCTTGCCGTAGAGAGAATAAGAAATTCTTTACTATTCTGTCACCTCAAATTCAACATGTTCAGAGTTGTGAATTTCTTTTCTCTCCCTCTCCTTAAATCAGCCTATCGTGTTTTAAATTCTGTCTCTCAGTATTACCAAGGTTCCACTGACTCAGGCTTAAAATCTTGGAGTCTTCTTTTTATCTTATTTAGCCATTACCCTCTCCTTTTGAATGCACTCTAATCAGATGCCAGGGCTACTTGGCAGCCCCTTATCAGCACTTCTTGACTCTAATCTCTCTCCTCTATAGTTCATTTTGCATACCAGACCAGTCTCCCAGGAGTACACCTCACTTTCTTTTCACAAATTCTATGTAGAGTTTGTTTCAAACTCTTTTAAGTGTAAACTCCTTAAACTGACTTGGTTAAATGTGATCAAGCCAAACTTTAAAGCATGGCATACAAGGTTTCCCCCAGCTCCTTTAAAAATGCATATCATCTAAAATTTCAAGCATATGTAAAAGTTTAGGGACTAAGGAATTCCTATAGATATATTATTTAGCTTCAAAGGTTATCAGCACACACCTATGTTGTTTCATTTATACATCCACCTACTCTCCCTGCCCCCACCAGATTATTTTGAAGCAAATTCCAGTCATCATACCATTCATCTGTAAATACAATAGTATATATATAAAACATAAAGGCCTTTTTAACATATAAAATATTATACATCTAAATATTGCCAGTCCTTAATATTATAAAATATTTACTTAGCTAGATGACCCTGTTTTTTTAATATATACATATGCACATATACATATGTGTGTGTATATATTTTTTTACAATTTGTTCAACTCAGGATCCAGACAAAGTCCACACGTTGTATTTGGTTGATACATCTCTTAAATTTCAATGTATCATTTCTCTCCCTCTTCTCTCTCTCTCTTTCTCTCTCACTTTTTCTCTCCTTTTTTACCCTGCCATTTATTTGTTAAAGAAATTGGATTGTTTGTCCCATAGAGTTTCCTATATTCTGGCATTTGCTGATTGTATCCCCATGGCATTGTTTACTATGTCTTCTATCTCCTGTATTTCTCGTAAATAAATTGTTAGATCTAGTCTTAATCAGTCAGAGGTTGAGTGTGGGCAAGAATATTACATAGGTATTTAGTATACATCCTATTACATCTCCTCATGAGGCACAGAATGTCTAGTTGTCCAATTTTTTTTGTTAAGATTGATCGTGGAGTTCAGATGTTGTCAGATCCATTATTAAGTTCCCTAGGATCTTTACCATTAATGATTTTAGCAGCCCGTTCTAGATCCATTATTCATCAGAGGTTACAAAATGGTGATCTTCTAATTCTACCATTGTTCTTTATTTTTTAGCTGGAATTCTATTAAGAATGACTTTTTTCTCCCCCTTTCAACTCTTTCATTACAGTGAGATATAGCTTGTACAGGAAAAGGGATAAATTTACCAATTTTCAGAATAATGAATTGGTTCCCTTGCATCCTCCAAAGGTTATTGATTAATTTTTTTCTATCTATGAACCCATGGTTTTAAATATATTTGATGTGTTTAAATCCATTGTAGTTATTATCCTTATTGGTGCTCAAATTGTCCCATCTTTGGCCATTGGTAGTTTCTTCAAATTAATTCTAGATTCTTTGTTTCTCTTTCTTTCCTTCTTTCCTTCCTTCTTACCTGCTTTCCTGCCTGCCTGCCTGCCTACCCGCTTTTCTTTTCTTCCCTCCCCTCCTTCCTCTCTTTTCTTTTCTCTTTCTTTCTTTTTCCTTTTTTTTCAAACTCAACAGATTTATTTCTCTTCTCAAAACAAACCACACTAAGTAGGAGTCCAAGCCTGGTGCTGTGCCTCACTGGTGTTAAGGACATACGCTCTCCTGTCTTGTTGCTCTGCTGTCTTATTGCTCTGCTGTGTCCTCATAAGCATGTTTAAAGATGTAGAGATAGAAGGAAGGGTATGTGTCTTTCCATTTTCAGCACTTTAAAGATGTGATTACATTATCTTCTGGTTTCCATTGTTTTTTTTTCTTTTGAGAAGTCAGCTATAAGTCTTATTATTGTTCTTTTGGAGGTGATGAGTCTTGTTTTTTCTAGCCACATTAAAATGTTTTTCCCATTGTCTTTTTATTCTGCTATATATAATTTTCTTTGTTTTTATTCTTGGGGCTCTTTAATCTGTTTTATATCAACTTGGGAAAATTCTTAGAGTGTGGACATAGCTGACTCCATCTTGAAGCCAATCTACTAGTTTAACTTCTGAGTGAATGAGCCCAGACTGGATTGTTGATCCCTTTTCCCCTTTTCCCTAGTGGACTCTGGAATGTTTACAGAGGTTTCGGGCTAGCCACAGAGTTTCCATTATTTCTTCCTCTAGGCAAGAAGTTCTAGATGTTATCTATCTCTTAGCTCATTCTGGCGCCAGGGTCTGCTGGTATCTGGCTTCTTTGTTCCCCCTGACCTCCCACGCAGTCCTTCCGAGCACACAGGTCTATTTCTGAGAGGGAATGAAAGAGGGCGAGACAGAGATCTCACTGTCTTGTAGCTGCCCAAGACAAGTGTTTCTTTTACTATAAGTTCCCTACTAAACCCATTAACCAACAAGCTGGACTTGTCTTTTTCTCTGGTCCTTCAGCCTCTTCAGCATTGGAAAACCACTTTGTATACACTGTTTTTACACGAAACATTTAGCCATTATTTTTTAAAATAAACTTTTTATTTTTATTTATTTATTTATTTTTAGGCAAAGCATCCCTTGGTTGACCTCACAGATTGCAAGGACCTTGTCAGCTTACAATCCCTTATTTTTTTATTTTTTACTCCTACAGCACCTGGTCTTCCTAGTTGGTCTCCCATCCAAGTACTAACCAGGCCCGACCCTGCTTAGCTTCCTAGATCAGACAGAATCGGGCACATTCAGGGTGGCATGGCCGTAGACTAAAATAAACTTCTTATTTTAAAATAGTTTTAGATTTGTAGAAAAGTTGCAGAGTACCCATATATGCCACATATAATTTCCTCTATCATTAATATCCTACGTTAGTACAGTGCATTTGTCACAACTAATGAACCAATATTGACACATTATTATTAACTGAAGTTTATACTTTATTCATATTTCTTAAGTTTTTACCTAATGGTCTTTTTCTGTTCTAGGATCTTATCTAGGATATCACATTACATGTCTTTTTAAGCTCCTCTTGGCTATGACAGTTACTTAGACTCTCATTGGTTTTGATGACCTTGACAGTTTTGAGAAGTACTGGTTAGGTATTTTGTAGAATGCCCATCAGTTGGGATTTGTCTGCTCATGATTAGTCTGAGATTATAGGTTTTTGGGAGGAAGATCACAGAGATAAGGTGCTCTTCTTTCATACCATATCATGGCACATGTTATCAACGTGACATATTACCATTGATGTTAACCTTGATTGGCTGCCTGAGGTAGTGTTTGTCAGGTTTTCCATGGTGAGGGTACTCTTTCTCCTCCTTTTGTACTATACAGAAAGAAATCACTGTTTGAAGCCCACACTTAGGGAACAGGGGGTTATGCTCCACCTCCTTGAGGGCATATATCTACATAAATTATTTGGAGTTTTACAGCACAGGAAACTTGTCCCTTCTCTTTCGTTTATTTATTTATTCAGTCATTTAGTTATTACAGCATGGACTTGTGGATTTTACTGCTTTGGATTAGAATCCCGTACTGCTTTATTTTTTGCTCAAATTGTTCCATCTCTGGCCATTTGAGCACTTTCAGTTGATTCCTGGGTCCCTTTGACATATTCTACTATTGCAGGTTTTTTTGAGCACTTCCTTACTTACTGGATGCACTTTAAGATGCTCCATATTATTCATTCCCTGCCTCATCCTAGAATCACCCATTTCTCCAAGGAGCCCTTGTTCCTTTTATTGGAGAACGGCATTAGAAACTAGGGTCTGGGGGCTAATGCCAGGGGACCATTATCTTTTAAAATATTGCTTCTGCTCCATTTGCTCTCTGCTTTCCTTTTCAGACACCAGTTACATGTATTTAGATCTTTTTTACTGTATTCTGCATGTCACTCTTGCTCTTGACTAAATTTTTTTTTCTCTTTGCTTCTGTTTGGATATTTTTCTATTGACCTGCCTTTCAGTTGACTAATCCTCTTTTCTGTTGTGTCTAATATGCTGTTAAACCCACCTACTGAATTTTTAATTTCAGTTATATTTTTCAGGTCCAGAATTTCCATTTAATTCTTTTTTATAGATTCCAATTTTCTAGCGAGATTCTTTATTTTTACTCTTTATGTTCTCTATTCTCCTCTCCTCCCTTTTTACATTTTGCTCATAGCAGTTATGTTAAAGTCATTTTCTGTTTACTCTATTATCTAGATCATGTGTGTTTCTGTTCTTTTTTTTTCTTGATAATCCTTCATAATGCTCTGCCTCTTGGCATGCTAAGTTTGAATCCTGAACATTATGTTAAAAGAATTGTAGAACCTCCGGATAACATTATTTTCTTCCAGAGAGGGTTTATTGTTTCCTTTGCTATTTGGTATAGTATTGGCTTCTTACTTTAATCCAATCAGATACTGAGCTGAGTTGAGGTTGGGTTGAAGTTTTGATAAGGCTCTCTATCTTTAATTTAGTATCCTTCTTTCTTGAATGTTAGCCTTCCATATCATTCAACCAAGAACCTAGAGTGTTCACTGGAACCTAAACCCTGGCAAGTACTGACTTTTAGTACTTGTTTCCTCAGCATAAAACTACTCTTCATTTCAGTATATTTTTCCTTAATGTACTTTCCTATTGCTGGTGTAACAGATTACAAACCAGGTGGTTTAAAACAGCACACATATAATTTTACATTTCTGGAGATCATAAATCCAATATAGGTTTCATTAAGCTAAAATCAAGATGTTGGCAGGACTGTATTCCTTCTGGAGGCTCTAGGGGAGAATCCATTCCCTTGCTTAGTCCAGCTTTTAGAGGCTGCCTGCATCCCTTAGCTCATAAACCTTTCTTCCATCTGCAAAACCAGCAGTATACTGTCTTCAGATATTTCTCTGACTCTGACCTGCCTGCCTCCTTCTTTATTTTATAAGGACCCTGTGATTACATTGAGCCCACCTGGGTAATCCCAGCTACTCTCCCCATCCCAAGATCCTTAACTTAATCATGTATCTGCAGAACCCTTTTTGCCATGTAATCTAGCATATTCACAGATTCTGGGGCTTAGGACATATTTGGTGCATGTGTGGGGGTGGCGGCACTATTTTGCCCATCACACTTAGTTTTCTAGGTTCCTGCTTACACAGTTTCAGAATTCAGCACATGTTTTGAGAGAAACCTATCATGTAACGTTGAGGCTCAGTCTGCTCTCTCCTTTTTTATAGGGCTCTTGGTCCTTCATGTCTCCAATTTTATCTCCCTATCCTGCAAGACTGCCAACAGTCCTGCTGGTATATTTTTCCCTCAGTAATTGGTCTTCTCCCTGGGCAAAACCCAAAACCAGATTCTCAGCTTCTAGCCATGCTCCCAGAGTTGGCAAATGCCCCAAGGAGAACTCTGCTGCAGAATATAAGTTTATCTCCTTGTGGTTCATCTTTCTGGAATTTTGGCTGCTCTAGTCCTATTTGCTTCAGCAATTCTCTGATTAATTTTATCCAGTTTTTCTAATTGATCTTGGTGGAAGCATTGACTTGCTACAAACTGTTCAATCATATTTCTTCTGAGTACTTTTGACACAACTTTATAAATATGTATAAATATAAATATATATTTAAATATAGCATTCTCTTTGATATAGCCCAAGGTTTTGATATGACCCAGATGTTTCTGGTTTATCTTATACATTTCCACCCTAGACCTAGAATTGGCTATTTTTCCAAGGACCTCTGGTTCCTTTTATTGGAAAATGGTGTACAGAGTCCTCTGTATTATTTACACCTAGCACTTTGCACATATATTATACTCAACAAATATTTGTTAGATAAATTTTTATATTTATATCTTTACTTGGTTCTACTCAGCTTAAATACCACTTCCTTCATGAAGTTTTCTTTGGCTTTTTCTACTGTCTAAATTTTTGTAGCAGTTCTATAGATTTAATTCAAATATTTTGCAACTACACAGGCACCACAATCCTTTTTAATCCTAATAATGGATAAATTAGCACCAACTCTACATTATCTTATTCTTTCAATCTGTGTTACTTTTTTCACCTAATTAAATTGAAAAGTGAAGATAGAGCCAGATTTTATTCTTTCTGGACATACAGTAGTTGCTAAGTAAATTCTTGTTGATCGATTAATTAAGTAGATTGATTTTATTTCATATCGTTATTATTGCAGCTTAGAAATAGGTAGAACCTTTTCTTTTTTTTTTAGGCGAGGCAACCCTTGGTTGACCTCACAGATTGCAAGGACCTTGCCAGTTTACAATCCCTTATTTTTATTTATTTATTTATTTTTTATGCCTACAACACCTGGTCTTCCTAGGTGGTCTCCCATCCAAGTACTAACCGGGCCCGACCCTGCTTAGCTTCTCGAGATCAGACTCCCGGGATTGGGCCATAGACAGAAGAACTTTTTTGATTTAAGAATGTGGAAAACATTAGGCTAGGGGGAGTGCTTCTATGTAAAACTTTAAAAAACCTTTTAAAAATAAACCAACATAATATGGTACATGTATATTTTTTATTATAGACTTGAAGATAAATTGCCTAGGTTCAAAGTGAAGCTTTGTCACTTACTATTTGAATGACCTTGGACAAGTTTACTTAATTTCTCTGACCCTCAGTTTTCATGTTTATTAAATGGGTATAATAATAGTACCTACCTTATAGGATTAAGTGAGTTAATACATATAAAGCACTTAGGCCAGAGGCTGGATCGAAATAAGCACTCAATAAATGTTATCAGTAAATCATATACATACATTTAATAGCAAATATAAAAATTACTTTTTGTACTTAACATTATATTGTGACCATCTTTTTATGTTTAACTTTTTTTTTGGTAAAAAAATATCTTTAAGGGCTGCATAGAATTTCATTGCCAAGAAATACTCTAATTTCATTTACCAATCTAATACTACTGAATATTTAAATTGTTTGCATTTTTTAATTGGCTTTTGACTGACGTTTTTTCTTATCCAAGACCTGGGGAGAGGAAAATGCCCAAATTGATAATTTAGAGGTTGCATAGCATGCTGTAGAGATAATACTGGATTTAGAATTAGAAGATCAAATTCCGCTTTATAGTTTTACCCCTTTCTCTTCTAGGTTGGAGTAAATAATCTATTGGCTCCTTTCCAGACTTACCTTCTCATATGATTGTGCAGGAATTAAGTTCATTTTAGTTGTAATTTTTATGTATTATTTCCTCTAAAAGTCACGCACAAATATTTTAACTAAAGTAATCTTTGTGACAGAGCTTCCTACCGAGAGACTTCAAGGTAGTGACCCCTTGATCCATCAGGCAGCTAGTCAGAGTCTGAGGCTGCTAGACCCCTGGGTTGGTCACCTCCAACTGCAAGCAGCTTAATCTATGACTCCAGTTTCTTCTGGTTTGCCTAGTATACTCTGCTGTACAAATAGGATTTCTGTGTGCCAACCTGTGAAAAGGTTTGGAAGTACTAATTTAAAAGAATGTATCAAGGAAAACTTTTCCTGCTGGCAGATATATATATATATATATGGTTCAGATCCTTGTTATAATGTTGATAACTCTTCATTCTTTGACTTTTTAGCATGGCTGCTCGCTGTTTCTGGGATGCTGACACTGACAACTACACTCATGATGTTTTCATGAATGTAAGTGTATTTGAAAACCTTTTCTTCCTTTCAGAGGACACCGGGGCATTCCAAATCAAATTACTTAATATTTATTAAGATTGTTAATTTTAGATGTTTGTCTTAGACTCCTTCTGGATGAGATGATTTTTCTGTTCTTTTTTATGTTACTAAAGCAGAAACCTAGTGTGCTGCTTATAGGCAAGGAGAGTTGTATGTGTGCAGATGAGGTAACTCTTCACAAGTTTGAATTTGGGAATAGGCTATTGTTTAGTTAGTGTTAATAGACACATAGCACTTTGCTAAGATGCAAAGAAATTTGAGTGGTGGGATTCTATGAACAAAGGTGATTTTCTTTCAGTAAGAAAATTAATTACTTTATCTTAGAGCTATTTCTCAAAACTAAGCAAAATTAAAGAAGAATTTTTAAAAAAAGTTTTCATTTTATGTATTTTAATCATATATTGTTATCTTATACTCCCAGAAATTATCTCCTCGTCTATCCAAATGCTCCCAAGTTGTGAATTAGCAGAGTCAGAACTAAGTATTGTAGCATAGAACAGAAACTGGATTGAGTGAATTAGAAGGGAATTTCCACTTTCAGCTCTGTAAACTTTCTGATTGACTTACTTTAGGTAAGTCATTCGATTTTCTTCTGATTGTGTCAGTAACGTTAGGAAACTTACTAGGTTTTTCCAAACACTGGCTGTGGCTGCCTAAGAATTATTTCAGGAACTTGTTTAAGATACAGATGCTGGGGCCTTGGTCAAGTAGATTCTAATCAAATAAGCTAGGGGTTGGATCAGCGAATCTGAATTTTTAAAAAAGTTCTCCCCATGCTTATGCTTGCTGCCATATTTGGAAGCTGCTTGTTTAGATGATCTTAAGGTACTGTTTAGCTTTAAAATTCTATGGTCCTACCAAAGTTTCATTTTATGCTCAACTACCCTTGAGATCAAGGACTGAACAATGGTACATATTATATAAATCTTCATTTTATAGCTCTCTGGGGGAAAGGTCAAGCTCAATTAATGGTTTTTTCAGCTTTTTGGAGTTAAAAATGAGTATTTCCCTGAGTCCTTATACAAGATAATTCATTCATTTAACATATAATTCTGAGCTCCTATTATGTGCCAACCTCCATACTGTGGGTGCTAGGAGTAAAATGATGAATAAGATAGGCATAGTTTTTGTCTATAGAGAGCTTATAAACCAGTGGGGGCCAGACAATACTCAAATTAACAAATAAGTAATATGAAACTTCAGTTATCAATTATTAAAGATTTCAGGATTGGGTTTTAGAGCACAGGATTGGTGAGGGAGATGTCTAAAAATCATTTTTGAGAGACTGGTATAGGTTGTTAGTACCTGTAGTCCATTTGGTTGAGTTGAATGTTCATTTAGGTGTTATTTGCAGCTCTTAAAGCACTTTATTATTTGGGAGAAGATTTCGAGAAGCACCCATAGAGGATGAGGAAATACGAGAAAGAGAGAAAGGCTTATTGATTTGATAATTAGTGTGGACAATCGGGCTAAAGCCTACGGAGAACTCTAGGTGGCACTGTAGAACAGTGCCAATCAAAATGGGGTCCACAGACCAGGGCTGTGAACTGTTTGTTATAGCTTGTTATAGATGAGATAACTACATAAATTGAGTGTAAGGGTTTAGAAACTCTTATAGAAATTTGACAAAATAATTTTATGTTCATTGAATCTTATAATAAAAGGTTTAGACTATATTTGTATGTTTCTTTTTAATTTCATTTTTCTAGTTATTAATTTTTATTGTATTTTACAAAAGTATCAGTGTGTGAGGGATTGGAAATTAGAATACAAAAAACAGGTCCCTCACCACAGATAGTGCTGTTATAGAACACAGCTCACAGTTATCTCACCCAGGGAGCCAAAAGATGGACAAATGAATTTTATAATAAGAACAAACATCCAGAGACCATTTCACCTTATCCAGAATTTATGATGAAGTGCTATTATTTTATTATCTGTGGTACTATAATATAGTTCCGTGGGTTGGATAATGCATTTACTCTAAGAAGTGCAAAGCATTTCATATATTATTTCTTTGATAAATCAAGAAAAATGGGAATACTTATTTTGTGAGTTTATATTACATAAAGTTCATTAGTTTGCATGTTATTTCTTCATTCTAAAAATCTAACTCTTTACTCATCCCAGCATTCTGGATTTGTTTATGTGTGTTTTCTGTTTTGTTTGTTTTTTAGGACAGTTTGTTCTGTGTTGTAGCGGCTTTTGGCTGTTTCTACTATTGAATCTTTGAAAGCTGGGAAAGAATATGACCGTGAAGAAATATGAACTTTTTTATATTGTTAAATTTGACAAAATAAAGATAACTTAGCAGTTTGGCAACTTAGTCTGTTGAGTTTTAGACCTTACAGTTTAATGTTTTGATTTTGTTGTCTTTATTACATTTGGAAAGTAGAGAAAAAAGTAGGGGAAAATCCTTAATTTACTTGACCTGATTTTTTGCTTCTCATGTGCAGTTTTTATGTCATTTTATTTGTTATGATTTTCATAAGCATAGTTTAATAGTTGTATTTAATCCATTAGGTTATACCATTAGTTATTTTTGCCATGTCCTTATTGAGGAACTGATTATTTCCACAATTACGCAAAAGAGAGAACAGCCAGGCAGGTACCTTCGAACCCTAAGAGCCTCTACTTCTTATTTGCACATTAACTTTCTGGACTATTGTCCAAAGGAGAGGACACATCTTCCTTATGGGCTCTGTGCCTATCCCAGAGCTGGCCCGCTTCACCTTCTACCACCCGCTTTGCCTATAACTAATGTAAATTCTTTCAGATAGCTCACTCTCCCCACCTCCCATTTGATGTATAAAAAACACTTGCAAACTCCAGGGCAACAGAAATGTATGTCTTTCTCACCTAGCCATGCTTCTGGTGGTTTGGACTTCATGCCCCAAAACCAGTCTTTTCGACTAGCATTTTTGGTTCAATAAAACCTTTCTTTAAAAAAAAGACTTTCAGTTTTTTTTTTTAACAGAGTCATGTTCAAATAACTATTTGAAACTCAAAAGGGAAAGGGTCACAATTTAAATCCTTTTTCTCCCTAGAGGCTCCTCAGCAAATGCATGTTTTACCCACCTTTTCTTCTCGGCCACTTTCAAGACAAGCATATAAACAAAGATAAAAATGAATAAATAAGGAAATACATTGAAAAGTTCTTTTACATCTTCCATAACATTGAGTATCTACTTGCCTTACATTTATAGACTCTAAAGGGACCCTCCAAAGGTTCATTCTAGCAAAGGAAAATGTTTCTCTTCGCCATATACCCTGCCATGTGATTTCCTACCAGTAGACTCCCTTGGATCTGCTTGTCAACCTAAGAAACATCCACACTTGTAGAGAATTTTTATAAGAATTTGAGCCAAACTGATGATATATGCCAAAGAGCAATATCTCGAATGTTCCCCAGAATAACAGTTTGCAGCAGTTTGCTGTTTCTTTTATGCATGTGATTTTAAGGAGGGAACATATGAAAGATTGCATGAAGGTGGGAGAAAGCAAGGCAGGGACGTAATTACAGGATTGTTAAAGTCTTGTGGGTGGCGTCGGATTTTAAAGGCCTATTAACCTAGATGCATAGAAACAATGGACAGGGCTTGCTTAAGGCAAAGATAAGCCTGCCCAATTAGGAATTTATGATCAGATCTCCCTGTGAAGTTACTTTCTATAGATTCCTTTTTCTTTCACATGCTCTTGCTTAATGGGCTGTCATTTGATTCCGAGGGATCATTTTTGGTGAGCTGATCGTAGTCAGAAATAACAGAGTTCATTATATTAATTAGATGTATAGGCTCATAATAAGATGCACAGGCTCATAATATTCAGGAAAGGGTTTGGGGCCAGCTACGGGTTTTCACTGGACTTGGTTGGCGGACTTCAATTCTCTTTACGTCACCCAGAAGGGAAAGGTTGGCGCTGTGGCGAAGGAGTCGCAGACGATGTATCTTTGCCGGAAGGTGTCATGGTCATCTGTATTATGGATGCCCCAGTATGATTGCCTAGCACTGCGCCAGGTGCTCGGGATGGAACGAAAAGGACCAAGAATGACATTTCCGCCTGAGGGGGACCAGAGCTCAAAGCTGGGCAAAAGGGGAGTGGTAGAGTTAACGCTTCTCGACGAATTGCTGGGGAGCACGCGTGACCGTTCACATCCATCCCATTAGGAGAAGGCGTCTTCACCGGATACTCCAGGTCCGCACGGGGACCGACCCTTAGCCAAATTTGTGGTCTGGCTGGTGTTTCTGCGGTCACTCCGTCCCTCCGTGGTTCTGTAGAGGCGGAACTACTGTGTCAAGGGTCGGGGTTTTCAGGGAACAGTCGTGGTCGGATTGACAAGAGGGCGGCCAGTAGGCGGGACTTCCGGCCTGCTGTTCCATTAGCTGCTTTTCCCGGGCGTCTCCCCGCAACCTCCTCAACTTCCCTTGTCCGTGACGCTGCGCCCGGGAGAAATCCGACCGGACAGGGGTCGGGGTAACGCGAGCTCCAGGTGAAGACCCGGTGTGCGTGCATATCTTGCGGCTCTATTTGAGAGGAGAAACTGTGGGGCTGCGACCGCGAGGAGACTGAAAGAGTGGGTCAGTGACAGCAGGAGTGTGAGACGAGGACTGCGAGGCTACTGTGACCCGTGGGCAGTGACAGTGAGGGGACTGTGACCAAGATGCTGCTGCTTAAGAGGGGTTTGGGACCCAGGAGCAGTGAATGCAAAGGGACTCTGACTTCGGAGAGCACGAGGTAGAGGTTGCTAGGGAACTATGACCAAGGAAGTATGAGGCAGTGACTGCGAAGGGACTGTGACCAAAGGCCAGTGACTCAGAAGAGACTCTGATCTATGGATAGTGACTGTGAGGAGACTCTGACCTAATGGAACATGAAGCAACGGCTGTGGAGAAACTCTGACTAACTAGCAATAATTTCGAGGGGCTGACTTCGAGAAGAGTGTGGGACCAGTGTAGTGAACATGGTACTGTAGGGTCGTTTGGGCACGGGGTGTGATTGAGTGGCTGTGACTGGGCAGAGAAAATCTTTAGGACTTACTATACAGACCTGGGTTTAATTTTATGGACAAACTTCTTGTGGCTGAGAAACTTACCACTAATCTACAGTTTCTTCCTCAGTGAATGGGAAGTTTGGACTACATTAATGTTACCTAAACTATGGGTTCCATCCCGTTCTTGGGTTGTGAAATCCATTTAGCGGATGGCACCAGAGTTTTTTTTTAAAAATGCAGTAGAATGTAAATTTTCAGTGTGTTCACATAGCAAGGGTAAGTATTGTTTTGGGAACTTGTTTCAGTTATGTGTGTATGAGATTATTATGTAAAATGGATTTCATATATCTTAAAATACATAAAGTAAAATGTAGTAAAAAAGTTTGAAAACATTGGACCAGATTATTTCTGATTTTTTTTTCAAGTGTAAAGTGCTATGATTCTATGATTAGGGAACCTTTTGGAAGTACAAAGATGCAATTGAGAGGACTGGATCTATGGCTGAGGCACAGGCTCTGTCAGATAGACTTAACTGGAGATAGCTTCACAAATATAATTGAGGGAAATAGTTATGATTGAGGCCTAAAACTGAGGATCTCATTTGGGAGAAGCAGAACTTATATATTGAAAAAGGAACAGTGCTATGTATAGAGGCAGTGAAGATATGAGGGTTTATGATAGGAAAAACTGCTAGGAACAGACATTGAGGAAGGGGAAGCTTTAGGGAGGGTAGGAACGAGGCTTAGGAAGGGAACAGAAGATAGAGACAGAAAACATTCTGCCAAAAATAAAATGGGAGTTGGAAGATATGCCTTTCAGGGTTTGTTTGTTTGTTTTTTTTTTCTGATCTCGATATTTAATGATTATACAAGTACAGAGAATTGCTAGTAAAAAGATATTAGCTGAGAATGGATTTTGGTGCAGTAATCAGTGGTAAACATGATGACCATCATGGAGAAGAAAAGATGACTCTGGGGAGGTCAACAATGATGACTGGAATGCCACATGGGAGAGGCTTTAATGTATTTAGCTATTCAGATCAGTGATTTATGCAAGACTGGTACTGGGAATGATACTATGCTGTGGGTAATTCATATGATGTTTTCCCTGCTGGTTTTATCTTCTTCTGATTCCTTTTCATGAGGGCTATTAGTGATGCAGATGTAATGAACTGAAGTGGTTTCATTACCTACTCCTCCTTAACAGCCCTTTGTAGAAGATGCTACTGATTGTGCCATACAATGTTTTTTTTAAAATATGTAATGGAAGAAGCTTGAGGTAATTTTAACTTATCAGACACTGTATCTGTTAACCTAATAGTTAGTTACCCACCACCTCCTATACACATATACACTTTGTGAGAAGAGAGTTCAGAAAGATTCTTGAATGGGAATGGTGAGGGATAGACTTTGTTTAGCTTAAAAATGGCTAGTTACGCCTTGTTTTCTAGAACATTAGATGTTTACTTGGTTCACATTCTACATAACTAAAAGGAAATACTGAAGAATTTCTTTCTAGAACAAAATATATGCTTCAATGTAACTGACCATAGAAGAGAAGACATTTAGTCTGGGGGCTGCAGCACTGCCTCGGGTCTTTTGTGTTTGCTGAATGTAATGGTTCTTTTTGACCTACCCTGCTTTGCAAACTACCTCCAAAAACCAGTATAATGGCCTGATTGATAAAGAATAAACTTTATTCTTTCTTCAACCTATGCTTTCTCCTCCCATAAACAGGTGAGGTTTTATTTTTCTTGGGGACCTCCTTTCTGGATATTTGATCCCTTAAGGAGAATGATCTAGTCGCTAGAGCCTTGGATTCAGAAGTTCTAGGTTGCTTTATCTGATGTTAACACTGACTCACTCTGTGACTATGGAGAATTACTGCTTTCTCTTGTTTTAGATTTTCTAACTGTGGCAGAGGTAACTGTACTTCTGGGTAAACAGCCCTTTAATAATCTGAAATGTATGTATATTCACCAAATTTTGTATACAATCTCATGGAGTATGTAAACTACATGATTCTCCTGTGGAGCTGTCTAAGCTCTAGGTTAGACATGATTCCCTGAGGGAGTTGAATAACTTTTCCATGTTCTAAATGCTGATGAAAATTAATATATGAAATATTTATAGAAAAAGCATAATCACTTGCTATTGTTATTGCATAACTCTGATCCGAAGTCAGATATCTGGCTTTTCTACTACTAGAGCTAATTCTCCCTTCTGAACCAAACAAAATAAGTCTTTCTTATACCAACATTTGCGTAACCTAAAATAAATTGGAAAGAATAAATTTTTCTATTAGTCATGATTTTTGATAGATTTTTTTTCAATTAGAGAAACTGTAAACTCAGAGCATTGAATTGTGAGAATTCTTTTTTGCTCAAAATTGTGGCTGCTTCTAGATCTTTTATGTTATTACCACATCAATCACATTAGAAGAACAATATGACTTAGGAGGGAAAGAATGTGATTGAGGCTCTGGGTTCCATCCTTCTGCTTATCTGTTCAGAGGATGACTTCCAGCACCTCTTCTTTCCTAAGCTTAAACTTCTCTATTTCCAGTCAGCGCCTCTTCTTTCTTAAGCTTAATCTGTTTCCAGTCCTAGACTTCTTTTTTCACAATACTCCTGTCAAATGAGTACCTAGACACATGATTTGTTTTCTTAATTGCTTTATGAATGTTCGTGGCAAAATTTAAATACTAACTTCCTTCTACAATTCAGTCAGTAAATTCAGGAAATGCTCATTTTTACATACTCAGTTTTGCAATATATGCCAGAGCTCTACTCCAGAAGGAAAAAAAAAACAGTCTGTAATATATGTTTGACACTGTATAAGGTTAATTTATGTACATTATCTCATTAATATAAATAATCGAATTGCCTTTATTTTACGTTTAAAAATCAGATTAGTAGGTAGAAATATAGCAAGCTAATATAACTAGGAATTAAAAGACCTGGTTCCCTTTCCTTGAGCCAATCCTGTATGAACTTGAATAAGTTACTTTACCATATGCAGCATCACAACTAGAACGTCATAAGATGTTAGAATTCCAGTTATACCCCTGTTATAATTATTTTTCTACTGATCCATAATATCTAAGTCTAAAAATCCATGGTTTGAGGACATTCTAAATATAGAGAACAGATTCTCTGGAGTGGTTTTCAATGATACCGATGCAAGCTTGTGTGTGTGTGTGTGTGTGTGTGTGTGTGTGTGTGTGTGTGTGCCACGCTTCTTTTTTTCTCCTTTTGGTAACACTTGTTGAAAGTTGAAAGTTACATTAGTTTGAAACTTTCTATGTTTGGACTAGACTGACTACCAATGAGCCAGAGGAACCAATGGGTTCACTAGGCTGTTATATCGCATTCACAACTATTTGCAAACCATTTTTAAAGTGAGAGCTACTAAAAATAGTGACATATGATCTTTGCTCTATACTAAAGGACAAAATGAGTGTATGACACTTAACGGAAAGCAGATAGTTTTTTTTTTAATCTACAGAGAATTACCTTAGATGTGATTATATTTGTTTGTTTATTTATGGGCCCTAGAGCAGAAATCTTAATCTTTTTTTGAGTCACAAACTCCTTTGGCAGTATGGTGAAACTTTGTGGACTCTCTTTTTGGAATAATATATATATTTTGCATTTTATTAATAATAATTTTTTCAATTACAGTTGGCATGTAAAATTATATTAGTTTCAGGTGTACAACATAGGGATTAGACATTTATATAACTTATTAAATAATCACCCAAATAAATCTAGTATGCATCTGATACCATACATTATTATTACAATATTATTCACTACATTCCTTATGCTATAATTTACATCACCATGACTGTTTTGTAACTACCTGTTTGTATTTCTTATTAATCTCTTCCCTTTTTTCTCTCCCCAACCACCCCGTCTGGTAACCATATCTATGAATTTCTGTTTTATTTGTTTATTTTGTTCTTTAGATTCCACATGTAAGTGAAATCATGGCATTGGTCTCTCTCTGACCTACTCTACTCAGCACAATACCCTCTAGGTCCATTCATGTTGTTGCAGGTGCCAAGATTTCATTCTTTTTTATGGTTGAGTAATATTCCATTGTGTATATGTACCATCTCTTTATCCACTCATCTAATAGACACCCAGGTTGCCTCTATATCTTGACTATTGTAAATAATGCTGCAATGAACATATGGATTCACATATCCCTTCGAAGTAGTGTTTTGGGTTTTTGGTTTGCTATTTATCTTCAGATAAATACCCAGAAGTGGGATTATTGGGTCCTTCTTTGTCTCTTGTTATAGCCTTTGTTTTAAAGTCTATTTTGTCTGGTATAAGTATTGCTACCCCAGCTCTTTGTTTTTGTTTTCATTTTCATTTATTATCTTTTTCCATTTCTTTACTGTTAGTCTGCATCTGTCCATCTGAAGTGAGTCTCCTGTAGGCATCATATGTAAAGGTCTTATTTTCTTATCCATTCAGCTACTCTGTCTTTTGATTGGAGCATTTAATCCATTTACATCTAAAATAATTGCTGGTAGATACGTAGTTATTGCCATTTTATTTATATTTTTAATCGTTTTTTCTTTCTTCTTAAAGAAGTCCCTTGAACTTTTATATAATACTGGTTTGGTGAGGATGAACTCCTTTAGCTTTTTCTTGTATGGAAAGCTCTTGATCTGTCCTTAGATTCTAAATGATAGCTCTACCCAGAGTAACCTTAGTTGTAGGTCCTTGCTTTTCATTACTTTGAATTATTTCATGCCAGTCCCTTCCAGCCTGCAAAGTTTCTGTTGAGAAAGCAGCTGACAGTCTTATGGGAGCTCTCTTGTAGGTAACTAACTGCTTTTCTCTTGCTGCTTTTAAAATTATCTCTTTGTCTTTAATCTTTGGCACTTTAATTATGATGTGACTTGGGGTGAGTTTCTTTGGGTTCATCTTCTTTGGGATTTTCTGTGCTTCCTGGGCT